CACAAGCCCAGGGCTGCCTGCAGTGGCATAGCGGCCCCAAGGGCCGGGGCGGGGAAGGGGGCTGAGGGGCCAGTGAGGGGAGGGGCTGAATCAGGCCGGGACACGCCCCCTCTGCCGCTCCTGGTCGCTCTTCCTAGGTCCACTGCAACGCGCCCCTTGGCAAGCCCCTGAACTGGACCACCCCAGGTCACCTGGCTCCCACCGGCCTGAGTCTCCCCTAGCCCTACTCCCCACCCCGCGCGGTACCTCTAACATGGTTTGTCTTTCTCCAAGACTAAGGCCCAGACTCTGATCAGAGCCTGGAGTTTGAGGTTGCCGCCTCCCTGCAGTGTAGCCCGTTCCCCCCAACCCGGATCTCGTTCCTAGGTGGACGGCATTCTTAACAATGACACTCCCTGACCTTTGGGTGGCCTTGAAGCCCTCTGCAGTTTACAAGGCATTTTTCATAAAAGATCGCATTTACTTTACAATCTATTAATTGCCACTTTACAGATGCAAAACCTACAGTTCAGAAAGCAAATAGGTGGGGGGTACTGCCTCTGACTCCCGTCCAGTGCTTCAGTCTGACATCCCTGTCCCCAGCTCGGAAAGCGGTGTGGATACCAGGGGTTTTAACCCCAGAGAGGAAAGTTTTCATTTGGAAAGGTAGTGTGGTGGGATGATGAGGGAGGACCACTGGCCTGGCTAAGGCAAGTAAGTATGCATACTAAATTGGACAGAGGCTAGAGAAGTTTTGAGAATTACCCAAAGCAGACAGAAGTTTGATGGGCCTATGAATCCAGCAAGACCCAGATTCCTACATGGGGGAAGTAAGATTAGGTAGCCAAGTGATTCGCAGGGAGGGAGGTGGGGTGGCAGGGGGCAGACCCTTCCCTCGTATGTGACCAGAAATGCTAGTGCTACACCCTCACCAAAGCTAAAGAGTAGATCCCAGACCCAAACTCCAAGGTTCCTCCCTTCTCCTCCTGTGATTCCCACAGCTCACTTCTTGGTGAGGTGAGAGAAAGGTGGGGCAGGGACATAGTCCTCTGGCTGGCAAGGTGGCTATCTCCCTCCCTCCCCAGCCCTGAGAGGCTGAGTTTGTTTACCTCTCAGCATGGTGGCAGCCAGGCCCAGGGGAGGCTCCCTGGGATGCCTAGCCTCCCTCAATGACGCCCCGGGGACCCTGCTAGGAAAACACAGACTGTTCCATCTGTGCGCGGAGGGGAGGAGAGCCTTCCCACAGAGCTGGGGTGCTGAGGCCCCTGACACTGGGAGTGCTGGAGGAGACTCACAGATGTCTGTAGTGTCCTCTCTCCTCTTACTGTGAAGGACCAGAACATCACAGATCCCCCAAGTTTTCCTCCCCACCAGTGGACCCCCAAGGACGGCTTCTGCTGGGGGCTTCTGAGGGCCCTCTGGCATGGGCAAGGAGGGAGCAGGCCTGCTGGAGTTCTCTGCTAAATGGGGACTGGGGCCAGCTTGCCAGGGACGCCTGGGGAGCACTTCTAATTCCTCAGCTCTTGTAGATCCATCCAGAGAGCACGTGACATATGGGGAAGGAGGGTTATCCTCAGGGGACCAGCCCTAGGACTTCTTACTAGCCACCTGGAGGCAGAGTGATGAGACCAGCTAGAGAAAGCACTCTGGCCATTTGGAGTTACCCTGGGGTACCTTTCTGGCCATAGGACAGGGCTGTAACTGCACTGCAAGCACAGAGCACAGGCTGTCCCTGCAGTGTCTCTGGGTCTCTAGGGGACCTGCTCCGGGTCACTATCCCCTACAGCATGGGTCAGAAATGGTTACTATTCAGGGTTCCACCAGGGCTTCGGCCCAAGACAGCAACTGGTTTCTGCCATCTCTCGTGACATCTGCCCCAGCCTACAACTTGGACCCAGGGGAAGAGGCTGCCAGGCTGAGTTGTGGGGACGACAGACCTCACAGCCCCACAGCCCCTCCTGGCTTGACCTATGTCAGGGATCCTCATTACTCTAAGCTGCTGGGCTCAGCCCTGGGTTATGCTGTCCTTTTCCAGAGACTGTTAATCCATCCCCTCCCCCTTGCTTTCCTCCTCCCTCTTCCTGATCTTCCCTAGCTGCTTCCTCCATAGGGAGGAGACACCAAGGCAACCAGCAGGCCTCCTCAGGCCGAGGAAGGGCTGTTGGTCCCCTGAGGCTTCCCACCTAGCAGTTGGAGGGCAGGAGGGCAGGAGAGCAGGCCTAAACCCCTTCCAGCCCCTTCCTCAGGGTAGTGAGGAGGACTGGTGTCCTAGCTAGGCACCACATCTCTGCAGGGAGCCAGGAGGTCTGTATCTGGGGCTGTTGGAATAGAGAAGATTTCAAATCACTTTTGAGGGGAAGATTGGGGGAGTTGGGGTGGGGGGGAGGTGGGAGGGGAATAACAACATTGTTGAGCTGGGAGAGGGGATATGGCTTGCTCAAGTTCAAGGCAAAGAGGAATAATTCTGGCCTTAACCCTAGGACTTCTCATTAAACCCTTGTCCTCTCCCCGCTGCTTTATGCCAGTGATGGCAGATGGAGGTCTAGCCAGTTGGTTTTGAATCTCATTACACCACCAGCCTGGGGCTCAGATTTTACACAGGCTCTTGAGCCTGGTGGGGCATGAGGATGGCCCCTAGGTACAGAGGTACAATTTGGGGAAGATGGATGCTCCTGTGTGGTCAGGTCTGAGCTCTGAAATGATACTTTTGCAATACCTGCTCTAGCAAGACACTGCCTCCATCAAGCTTCAAGTGCCCTAGCCCACTCCCTCACCTCCTGTGGCCTCTCCCTATCGCCCCGGACCCTAGCCCCAGTAGCTAGATTTCTAGGATGAGAGGAAGGACAGGGGTGCCTGAACCTGAGTGAATTCTAGAGGCAGACTGCAGGGGCAGGAGGGGCCAGACCTCACCTTGCAGCCCCTTAAGCCATTAAAAGTTCTTACATAAGCCTTCATCTCCCCGCCCCCACCCCTTGCCCACAGGTAGAGCTGCAGGGCTAATTCCCTTAGACCACCCCCCAAACCCAGCTTCCAGGTCACCTCCCCAAGCTGCTGAGCACCAACAGATGGGGATGAGAAAGAAGTCCAAATCCTCTGGACCAGAAGGACAGTGGGATTGCATTTCAAGCTGCTATACAATCCAGAGATTAGCCCCTGTCTCGTATTCAGCCAGTCCCCAGGGGGCCCAGTTCAACGCCCTCCCCACTCTTCCTCTAGTGACCCTGCATACCCCAGCAGACTAAGGATAGGAGGGGGTCCTGAACCTCAGGAGAGACTCTAAGGAGAGCTGCGCTGATAGCCTCATCAGACCTTAGTGAATAATGAGGGGACACTGTCCTCACCAAACTCTTGAGAAGGCAAACCGTCATGACACCTACACCTGCCAGTAAGACTCTTAAAACAGAAGGAAACAACTGAAGAGTAGTAAGCAAAGATGGACAGGGGCTCCAACAAGCACTGTTTGAAACCCTGTAGTTGCAGCCACTTGGGCCAAGTGTCGTTGGGTGTGTAGCTGAGGTCAGATCCTGGGCTAAGGTTTTAGGGAACGTTTTTCCGACAGGCTACCCGGTGCAACGCAGCACCAAACCCTTTGCACAGTGCTCGCCTGCATGCCCTAACCAAAGCTTGGGTGCGCGGCATCTGAGCCGGGTTTCAGGAAGTTAGAGGTTGAGGCGGTAAGAAGGCAAGGGTGGTGGGGCCTGCCCCTCCCCTCCCCCGCAGCGCCGCGGGGTTCCCCGAGCTGCCGCGCCCGCCCCGGATGCGCCCCGCGCGCTCTGCCTTGGGCGTCACCTCTCGGGCTCGTAGCCGGCCTGCAGCAGGCGGGCGTTGTACCGCTGCGCCGCCGTCTCGTGTCCCGGGTGTTGCCGGGCTCCGGGCTCTGGAACAGCGGCGGCTCCGCCTCCCTGCAGCGGCGGCGGGAGCGGCCCCGACTCGTGCGGCAGAGTGAGCGGCCCCTCCATGCGGAGGCCGGGGCTCTGGGTAGGCGGGAGCCTCTCCGCCTGGAGGCTCCA